TATATATATATATATATAGTGGTGACTTCTTAACAACCAGAAGTCACTCCAAGCTAAAACCACGGACTTAGAAGGCCGTTCCCGACGCAACAATATACGGATTTTACGGCATCCTACAAAACGGCATTGCAGTGGGACCAATACCGGCGAGGAGATCCAAAGACATCACCGTGGAAACCATAAAGAACCTACTACCATGGAGCACAGGCGGGACGCGACGAGCCGGCAACGCGCACAACTACCAGGAGAGGAGAGATCCGTGAGAGGCTCAAGGAGTTTCAAAGAGCGGACAGAGAGGATGCGGTGATGGATGAGTAATGAATCTTAGTTCAGTTCCTAAGAAACTTTGTCTTACTCCCCTCACCCTAATTCAAACTGAGAATAATGGCTCTTCATAAACAAAACTTTTANNTGTATTGACATGAAGAGCAGGATCCTAGTAAAGCCTAATATTATTTCTGATAACCTCTCTTTAAACTTGGGCAAGAACAATAATCAATGCAAACTAAATTACATCTTACCCACCCCATTTTCTCTTTTTAGTATGTGTCATCTACCTGACACTCTTCTTTTGTTATTTTTTCTTTGTCTTTTTGGAATAGCCGAGGGGCCCCACTTTGTGGCAGCTCTATTTAGATATAAATGTATGAAAGACTCATTTTCCCCTTTTTATTATATACTTAAGGGAGGAGCCCTCCCACCATCATGAAGGGAAGCACTTATATCAGTCATACCAAAAGAGGGAAACGATAAAACAGAAAGTAAGAGCTATAGACCAATCAGTGTTTTAAATACAGATTATAAATTATATGCAGCCATATTGGCCAGGAGATTGGATACAGTGATGCCTTTCCTGATAGATGAGGACCAGACAGGCTTTGTAAGAGTCCTCCATATTATTATATATCAATATTACAAAATTGAGTGCGGTTATTCTCGAACTGAGAATGATGCTGAGAAGGCCTTCGATTCGGTTGGATGGGACTTCTTATTTCAAGTTATGAGAAGATTTGGCTTTTGTGAAATTTTTATACAATGTATAAGAACACTTTACTCCTCCCCATCAGCGAGGATAAAAATTCATGGGAGTCTCTCAAACTCGATAATGCTACAACGAGGATGTAGACAAGGCTGCCCACTCAGCCCATCACTTTTCAACCTTTTTATTGAACCTCTGGCCCAGGCTATCAGGGAGGAGTCAGCATAGAGGGAGTAGAAAACAAAATTTGCTTATACACGGACAACGTGCTTATAACACTTAAAAATCCTGAATAAGGAGTTTCACTGCTGATGAAGATCCTCTGGAAATATGGGAGATTCTCAGGTTACAAATTGAACAAGCAGAAAACGTTTAAGCCTTTAATTTTGCCCCTTCTCCAAAGCTGATGGAGGAACATCAGTTTGATTGGCATCAGCATCACATTAAATATCTGGGAGTCCTTCTTACGAAGAACATGTTGTTTGAGGTCAATTATAAACAGGTTAACAGGAAAGTGTATGATGACTTGGGATAGGTGGGGCTTGCTCCCCCTCAACCTCGGTGGCAGAATAAGGACAATTAAAATGAACATTCTTCCAAGATTATTATACCTATTCACAGCACTTCCAGTGGAGGTGACACCTGTCAAGATTCATCTGGAATAATAAAAAACCCAGAGTGAGATACTAAACATTACAGCTGCCCGGGGGTGGGGGGGCCCTACCATGTCTTAAAGATTACTACCTGTCTGCTCAGCTGAGGCCTCTTGTGTGCTGGTGTAATCTGGCATATGAGGCTAGATGGAAACACATTGAGTTGTCTTTAATGGACATAGGCTCTCCAGCTTCAAAATCAGTTTGTTGCTTTCTCTATGAGGGTATGGTTGGAGGTGGTGAAGAGATTTCAGCTACACGGAGACATAAGATTGTTGAGCTGGCTGGCATATGATCCACAGTTCCTTCCAGTGTCACAGGACCACAGGTACAGACAATAGGCTAAGCGAGGTATAACTGCCTTCTGCCGAATATTAACAAATGGAAGACTTAATAGTTTTGAGGACTTATGCCAGGCGTATGAGCTGGGCAAAGAGGACTTCTACCGGTACCTACAGATTTGACACTTTTTTTAAAAAGGAAATAAGGCCCTCTGATCCTACTGAGCCCTCAAGAATAACCCAGATACTTAATTGATGCGTATTATACCAAGGGTTTTCTTAAAATGAATGAAACAATTCAAGTAACTATATAAGGGAGCGCTGGGAAAAGGAAACCCAATATAGTAATCTCTCTCCAGAGGATGTGGCTTCAAATATGGGAGACCCAGTCTACATCTACTAACTTCCTTGTTGGAAGGGGATTCTCAGTTGGAAAAATTCTCACCTCGTGTTTTTTTTTTTACGCCCTAACCCAACCAATCCAAATTAAGTGGTCTCAGTGCTTCTGAATGGAG